TTCTTTTTTTTCTTGAGAGTGCATGCTGATCAGCACAAGTCCAATCGGCACTTTCCAGACAGAGGTCAGGGGTTCTGCATCCTCCCAGAGCAAAATGAATACTTCTCCTACAAGCTTTAACCAGTGCCCAGCTAGACACTGATAGAAGTCACAAGACATATATACTGCTGAGAGAAAAGGTATTTAGTAGTTTATATTTACTAAAATAATTGCATTTCCATGTTGTGTGTACTGTGGGAGACCAGATATAGTGAATGCAGGGTCTGGGGAGACCAGATATAGTGAATGCAGGGTCCGGGGAGGCCAAAATATAGTGAGTGCAGGGTCCGGGGAGACCAGAATATAGTGAATGCAGGGTCCGGAGAGACCGGATATAGTGAATTCAGGGTCCGGGGAGACCAGATATAGTAAATTCAGGGTCCGGGGAGACCAGTTATAGTGAATGCAGGGTCCTGGGGAGACCAGTTATAGTGAATGCAGGGTCCGAGGAGACAAGATATAGTGAATGCAGGTTCCGGCTAGACCAGATATAGTGAATGCAGGGTCGGGGGAGATCGGATATAGTGAAGGCAGGATCCGGGGAGACCAGATATAGTGAATGCAGGGTCCGGGGACACCAGATATAGTGAATGCAGGGTCCGGGGAGACCAGATATAGTGAATGCAGCGTCCGGCAGAACAGATATAGTGAATGCAGGGTCTGGGGAGATCGGATATAGTGAATTCAGGGTCCGGGGAGACCGGATATAGTGAATGCAGGGTCTGGGGAGAGCGGATATAGTGAATGCAGGGTCTGGGGAAACCAGATATAGTGAATGCAGGTTCCGGGGAGACCAGATATAGTGAATGCAGGGTCGGGGAGATCGGATATAGTGAAGGCAGGATCCGGGGAGACCAGATATAGTGAATGCAGGGTCCGGGGACACCAGATATAGTGAATGCAGGGTCCGGGGAGACCAGATATAGTGAATGCAGCGTCCAGCAGAACAGATATAGTGAATGCAGGGTCTGGGGAGATCGGATATAGTGAATGCAGAGTCCGGGGAGACCAGATATAGTGAATGCAGCGTCCGGCAGAACAGATACAGTGAATGCAGGGTCCGGGGTTTAGTATCAATTTAAATTATAAATATAATATTACTATAGTATAGCGCTTTTTTCCTCTTGGGGACTTAAACCGGAACTTCACCTTTGAAGGGCCTAGACAATCCAAATTAAAGTTTGCCCCCCCCCCATGCCTGTAGCCTCTTGAGACATATCACAGGTCTCAGCATGCTGCAAGACCATTAACAGGGCCTTTGCATACACAGTGGGGAGCCGGCTGTGAAGCCGCAAGGAGTTCCTCACTTCCAGATGACTTGTGGAGGAAAGTCTACACCCGCTGGACTATAGGTTGAGTGGTCAGGTGCAGGCCGGCCTGTCCCCTTTACATAGCGCTTTAGATGGCCCTCATTGTTTTGCATTCAATAGTTGTCTTTTTCTTCTATTTTTACTTCTTCATTTCTCTTTGAGTCATGATTGGTCATTAATGTAACTACGGAATTTTCTACGATGGCTCTACGGTTAATAGCTCTGTTGGAACTATATTGTTCTGCTTCCATTTCGATGTTACTGTTTGCTATTATCACCTTTCCCAGTTCTCGCGATGTAAAAGCACATACTGTTTGTACTACTCTTTTTTTTCTTTTAAAACTAAAAAAAATTATTGAAACAGAAAAAACAGCAGCTACAGTATTTGTAGCTGCTGAATTATATTTTTTTTTGGGGGGGGCTAGGAACCTCTTTAAAGACTTATTAGATTGGTGTCGAGGTCTTTGAGTAGATGGATGTGTTAGGTGTTGCCATAAACCTGGGTCGGTAGCTGTGTTTTGAGTCTGCTTTTTAAAAACATCCAGAGAGGGGACTTCCTGAGCAATGAATGGTAGAGAGTTCCTCTGAGGACTAGGGATGAGCTCAAGGCCTGGTCAAAACACATATTCCGGTGCTCATCCGGACATCCCATCTTTAGCCCATTTGGTGGCCGCAGTATTTCTACCATCACTATATTTGACAGCTTCTGTTTGTCAATAGTTGTTAAGGAAGCAGTGGGTGCTGGCAGCCGCCACATCTTTGGTAACCATTGACATCACCTGGTCCCATTCATTTACTGGTTAGGATTTCCCAGCCATGAAACAAAGGGGCAAAGATAGAGATGATATTATTAAATATGGCCATATCTGAGCAATAACACTGGCCAAATATGGCCATAGACATATTTGGTCAATCCCAAAACCCAGGGAACCCCACTCCTTTGTTTACTTTTAGCAGAAGGGACTGGGGGATTATTATTATTATTATTACAGGTACTTTATATAGCAGTCAATTTACGCAGCACTTTTACATGTGTATTTATATAGTACATTCATATCAGTCCCTAACCCTCAAGAATCACACACTCTAAGGTCTCTAACTTACATTCACACATAGAAGGGCCAATTTAGAGTTTGCATGTTCTCCCTGTGCCTGTGTGGGTTTCCTCCAGGTACTCTGGTTTCTCCAAAGACATGCTGGTAGGTTATTTGGCTCCTGTCTAAATTGGCCCTAGTATGTGTATATATGAATGTGAGTTAGGGACCTTAGATTGTACACTCCTTGAGGGTTAGGGACTGATGTGAATGTACAATATATATATGTAAAGTGCAACGTATATAAGTACCTGTAATAAATAAATAAATAATACACATTAGTAGGCCAATCTTGAAGGATATCCTTCCATTTGAATCCAGTGTAGGGACTGGTGTGGTGTGGCAGTGATGAGCTTGGTCAACGAGAAGCCTAGCTACTGTGTTTTGTACCAACTGTGAGTAATGTAGTTTTTTTTCTCCAGGAGACCATAGTAGAGGACATTGCAGTAATCCATTCTGGATGTTACCAAAGCATGGGTGAATTCTGGCATATTCTCTGGTGGGATCAGATGTTTGATTCATCTAATATTCCTGAGATGGTGGAAGGAGGACCTGATAGCAGCTGAGGACCTAATGGCAGTGTTGAGGATCACACCCAGGTCATGCACATCATCTGAGAACAACAGATTTGTATTCCCGAGGTTTAAATCAGCTGGACGTGTTTGCTGCCATTTTAATGATAGCCTCTGCCCTCCATGACAAGCACTTCTGCCTTGTCTGGGTTCAGTTTCAGCCAGTTCAGTACAGTTCTCCAACAACAGGTTGGTTGAACACAAGCAATCTAAATTCTGTAAGATAACACTCATATACATGAGTGAAATGGCCAATAAAATTCTTAATGTCGGTGATTACCTTTAGAATGAGTATAGACACACTGTTATCTTCCTATTAAAATGAGGCATGTAAACTTTGCCCAATGCTTCACCTGTACTTGAACAAGTTCCTTACAGTGGACTTTTCAGTAAATGTGTAAGTCTACATGAATATATTCCAGACATGCCACAATATACTGTATACTTTCTTTCTGAAAATCTTTAAAAAGCCATCCTTGTGCTCAGGGGCAAACTGACAACTCATGGGGCTCCTGGGCTATAGGGGATCATGGGGCCCCTGTGTCCTTGCCCAAACTCAAAAAAGCCTATGAAAAAGGTACCAGGGGCATCTCATGGGGCCCCCTACTGACTCCGGGCCCTCGGGCAGTGCCCGAGTTTCCAAATGGTCAGTCCGCCCCTGCTGGTGCTCCAGTCCAGTGACTATGCCTAGGCTGAGATGATGTCATCAGTCTGCTGCAGGTAGAAGGAAATATCTCCTCAGTCTTTTCTCCAGTGATCAAACTGCAACATTGTAATTTTGTAGCAAGTCGAAAGGTGAGAGGCTTCAGCTTGGGCTGGGCTTGTGAACTGGGGGCCAGAACTGCATGGGCATCAGGATTTACATGATGGCATCCAAGAAGTAGATGGTGACTCCGGATGATGCCTAAACATAAATGGATCTGTTGGTCTAGTGAGAAAATCAGAGGGGAGAGCTGTGATCTCTGTGAGAGGTAATAAATACCTGGAAGTGCTATACTTACTGTACATACACTCACCTGCCACTTTATTAGGTACACCTGCTTAATTGCTTGGTAAAACAAATTGCTAATCAGCCAGTTACGTGGCAGCAACTCAATGCGTTTTGGCATCTAGATGTGGTGAAGACGACTTGCTGAAGTTCAAACTGAGCATCAGAATGGGGATTTAGCTGACTTTGAACGTGGCATGGCTGTTGGTGCCAGGCAGGCTGGTCTGAGTATTTCAAAAACTGCTGATCTACTAGGATTTTCACACACAACCATCTCTAGAGTTTACAGAGAATGTTTCAAGAAAGAGAAAACATCCAGTGAGTGGCAGTTGTGTGGACGAAAATGCCTTGTTGATGTCAGAGGTGAGAGGAGAATGGCAAGACTGGTTTGAGATGATAGAAAGGCAACAGGAACTCAAATAACCACTCGTTACAATCAAGGTATGCAGAATATCATCTCTGAATGCACAACATGCCGAACATTAAAACAGATGGGCTACAGCAGCAGAAGACTATACCAGGTGCCACTCCTGTCAGCTAAGAACAGGAAACGGAGGCTACAATTCGCACAGGCTCACCAAAATTGGACAATAGAAGATTGGTAAAACGTTAACTGGTCTGTTGAGTCTCGATTTCAGCTGTGACATTCAGATGGTAGGGTCAGAATTTGGCAAAACATGAAGGCATGGATCCATCCTGCCTTGTATCAACGGTGCAGGTTGCTGCTGGTGGTGTAATGGTGTGGGGAGATTTTCTTGGCACTAGCAAGGTGTACCTAATAAAGTGTTCGGTGAGTGTATTATTATCAAGTTATTATTATACAGGATTTATATCGCGCCAACAGTTTGCACAGCGCTTTACAAAATGAAGGCAGACATTACAGTTACAATACAATTTGGTACAAGAGGAAACAGAGGCCCTGATCCTGGGAGCTTACAATCTAAGTGTAGTCAAAATAAAAAAACACAAAATTCAGCACAAGGGACAGGACTTACTATTAACCACTTCCCTTCTGGCCCATGTACATAAATGGCCTGACGAGAGCGCTGCCAAAGTGGGTTGACGTTTCTAAATGTCACCTGCATTCATTTGCCTGTGCGTGCTCCCTGGGAGTGCGCGGCACCGTGATCGGACACAGAGGAACACCGATCGCTGTACAGGACCTATCATTCAAAGTACAGGCAATTGTCATTCAAAGGGCAGCACAGTGGCTAAATGGTTCACACTTCCGCCTAGCAGTACTAGGATCGTTAGTTCGAATCTCAACCAGGCCACCTCCTGCCTGGAGTTTGCATGTTCTCCCTGTGTTCTGCGTGGGTTTCCTCCGGGTACTCTGGTTTCCTCCCACACTCCAAAGACATGCTGGTAGATTAATTGGCTCCTGTCTAAATTGGCCCTAGTATGTGTATGTATGAATGTGAGTTAGGGACCTTAGATTGTACACCCCTTGAGGGTTAGGGACTGATGTGAATGTACAATATATATATAAAGCACTGCGTAAATTGACGGCGCTATATAAGTACCTGAAATAAATAAATTGAAAAAATAAAATTTCCAGTGTGGGCGGCATGCCATTAGAATGAATGGCACCCACCTGTGGGTCTGCATTCCTCTGTATGGGTGGTGCGGCTGCAGGTATTTGTGCGGGTCCCCGCAGTGGCACCACCCGCACAGATGTGAACCAGGGCTAAATCCTCATGCAAACGGGGCTTTCTAAAAACACCAGTAGCGTTAGCTGTATAAATTCATGTTAGAAACACAAGTTTTTCTGTATTTTTTAGCATTTTTGCATTAGCGGTTTTTTTACGCAAAAAATAAATAAATTTTTTGCTAAAAAAAATCCACACAGATTTGCCATGTTTTACTGCATTTTCCACGTTTTTCCGCGGTTATCAGCGTTAGAGTGTTTTTACAGCCAAAAAAACTCCTCTAGAAACCCACTAGTTGTGGGTTTTTTTCCAGCCAACCCCCCCCCCCCCTGCACCAAAAACCGCTGATTAAAGCCTATGTCTACATGAACACATAGGATAACATGCTGGGGGGTTTATTGGCTGTAGAAAAAAATGTCAAAAGCCAGAAACAGGCGCTGTAAAAACGTCCCGTGTGCATTGGGTCGCATATAACAATAAATGGCACAAATGTTCTGCAAGAGGATTAACAAAGGGAAATTTTGGGACCATTTAGGTAATTTTTTTTTAAAGGATATATCAGCACATTTTCTGGGCTCCACAGTGCAATTACATGGGTTTCATGTGATTTGATGCAAAAGTGATATGTTCAAGTGATTGTAAGCCCTCACATAACAACCTATTCAGTTTAAAATCAAATTAAAAACATTTGTGTGAAGATATAAAAATATAATACTTTTTTTCCCTTTTTTTTAAAACAAGTGATCATATTCGCTCTGTTGTCAGCTGCATAAGAGCTGGGGGAGGAGAAGCAGCAGCACGCTGATCTTCCCAGTGAATGGCTGTGCAGGGGGTGGGGCGTGTTAGGACAAGTCTGATCATTGGAAGAGAGCAGGCTGAGTTCCCAGCACAGCTAGAGAACTGACCATGCTGTGCTCGCATGCCTAGTGTGGTCAATATTTAATAGGAAAGCATAGGGACTGGCAGCAATGCTAGGGATTTCACACAAAGGAAGCAATACAAACAGAACAGGAGACTTATTTATACAAGTACATGGTACAGCAGCAGGGCTGGGACAAGGGGTGGGTAGGAAGGGCTGCGGCCCTGGGCACTGTGGTATCATGTGAGATGAGGGGGGCACCACAAGGAGATGGGGGGAGGGGACTCGTGATGAGAGGGGGGATTTGAGGGGGGTGGCAGGGGGTAAAAATTGTTCTAAGAGAGGAAATTTGGGGAGGGTGTGCTAGGAGTGGTGATTTGAGGGGATTTTGTGTTGGGAGGGGGATGGGTGAAGAGAATTTGTGCTAGGAGGAGGAATTTGGTTTGTTGTGCTATTGAAGTAATATGGTAGAGGGGGCAGGGAGGGCAGCTCCCCTGGGCTCTCTGATATCATGTGAGGTGTGGGGGGGCACCACAAGGAGATGGGGGAGGGGATTTGTGATGAGATGGGGGATTTGGGGGGTGGCAGGGGGTAAGAATTGTTCTAAGAGAGGAAATTTGGGGGAGGTGTGCTAGGAGTGGTGATTTGAGGGGATTTATGTTGGAAGGGGGATGGGGGGAAGAGGATTTGTGTTAGGAGGAGGAATTTGGTGTGTTTGTCCTATTTAAATAATATGGTAGAGGGGGGAGGGAGGGCAGCTCCCCTGGACTCTCTGGTATCATGTGAGATGTTGGGGCACCACAAGGAGATTGGGGGGGGGGGGAATCTGGGATGAGAGGGGGATTTGGGGGGGTGTGTACTAGGAGTGGTGATTTGAGGGGATTTGTGATGAGAAGGGGGACTTGGGGGGTGGCAGGGGGTAAGAATTGTTCTAGGAGAGGAAATTTGGGGAGGTGTACTAGGAGTGGTGATTTGAGGAGATTTGTGTTGGGAGGGGGGAAAGAGAATTTGTGCTAGGAGGAGGAATTTGGGGTGTTTGTGCTTTTAAAGTAATATGGTAGATGAGGGAGGGGATTTGTGCTAGGAGATGAAGTCTTCTTTTTCTGGGAGGGGGGGATTTGTGCTAAAAGGGATAACTGGGGGGTATTTGTGTTAGGGAAAAAAAACGCTAGGGTATTCATGCTAGGATGGGGGATTGGGGAAAAGGGGAATTTCTGCTGGGGGAGGATTTAGGCTCAGAGGGGTAATTTGAAGGGCAGATGATTTGTGCTAGGAGAGGGAAGATTTTTTTTTTTGGCGGGGGGGGGGATTTGTGCTGGGGGCATATGGAGAGAGAGAAAGGAGTTGAGCTGGGGCGGAAGGGGGGGGGGGGGGTGTGCAGGTGGCAAAGATTTGAGCTGGGCAGGTGAATTTCAGCAGGCGGATATATTTGTACTGGCAGGAGGGGGGATTTGTGCTGGGGGCATAAGGAGAGAGAGAAAGGAGTTGGGTTGGGGGGGGGGGGGTATGCCAGTGGCAAAGATTTGTGCTGGGCAGGTGTAGATTTGTTTCAGCAGGGGGGTAGATTTTTACTGGGAGGAGGAGGGGAGATTTGTGCTGGAGGGTAAGCATGCAGATTAGTGTACAATTTTTTTTATTTTTTTGAGGAAGACATTTTCGCTGACACTTAATGCTCATACGTCTTGGGTTGGGGGTACAATTTGACATGTTTTGCCCTGGGTTCTAGATGACCTTACCCCAGCACTGTACAGCAGGCACATATCAGGGATATGAAATGTTGAAAAGGGATCTGCAACAGTTTCTATTAATGTCCAATGGCCTGCATCACAAAAATCAATCACTTGCACCATGTTCTAGTGTTCTCCATTACCGCATTGGGTGAAAATACTGTAGAAAGGAGGGGCAGGATGCAAGGAGCAGCACTGCAGAAAGAGGCGAGATGAATGTGAATGGAACATACAACATACTAATGAATAGTTTTGTGACTCTTAATTATTTGGCGTATAAAGTGTGTCTATAGAGGTTGCTGCATTTTTCTGTGCGCCAATATTTTTTTAATCCCCCGATAGCATGTTATGCGTGTTAAAACATGACAATGCATGTACACGGGTTCGCTGTTGTTTCAAGTGGTGCAACATGGTGACGTGCATTGCCCTTTTTTTTTATTTTGAAGGTGTTACAGGGCGCATTGATGACAATGGCAGTGCTGGAAAATGCTGACTTTGATGTGTAAAAATTTTGCAAGCGTGTCATTCTAGACCAAGGGTCCATTCATATCTTTATTTTGTGGTAACATGCTAACTGTGGGATTTGTGTGTTAACATTAGTTTTGATTGGCACCCACAGCTCTTTTACAATGCACCCACACGGCAGCATACCACAATGCACATGCTGCATAAAAGAAAAAAAAAAGAAAGGGGGGGGGCAAGGCCATTTTTGCAGCACCGTAGTGCACAATACCAGTTGCATGAATGCATTTGTTTGAATGGGTCCTTTGTGAATTGGGCCCCCATATGTGTACAGATCTCCCATGCAACCCATGGGAAGGAAAAACTTAGCAGAGTGAAGAATGAGGGATAGTCGAGATAAAAATAGAATAAAACTGAATAAAAATAGACCACGCAGCCTTATACCCTACTAATAGAACCACGGTACTTTAACCCTATGAGGGTTACATAGGATGTACAATATGAGCTGTCACCAGGATGTGTATGAAATTGACACGCTAGAAGCAGGAAGGAGGGCAGGAACAGACGGTGTGCAGCTATATAGATATGACTGGCTCACTATAGAACAACATACACATGACTTCTTGTGGTCCCCATTCACCGCCCACACGTAGTGTGAATTTCCAGCCGTAGGCCTGATCTTCTGTATATGAGACATACACAGGAGTGGCTCTCTACTGCTTTCTATGTAGTCCCAAGAAGAACTTTCTGCTTTATCTAGAACAGATTCTCACTTTTATCCTCCAGCAGAAACCTAAAATGAAGAGTGTGATGATTATACTAGAGGATCTCCCTAATCCGACCTCATATCTGTCCAAGGTGCCTTGCCGAAATCCTAAATTTGAAGTTGGATTCCCACCTGTGCATGCGCATTATCACACGTTTTATTGTGTGTTGGCATGTCTTGATAAACATACGTTATTTCATTTTGGTGGGGGGCATCTCATTTATTTCTAAAGGCCGCCCCCCCCCATGCATGTCAACACAGTCAACAACACCCCTAACCCATCAATGCATCACAATGCAAAGATGTGACTACACAGGTGCTGTGATGAGTTGCGATGGCCAAAAATGGGTCAGTTATATTTTTTTATGCAAAAAAACGAAGATTAACCATCAACTTTACAGGAAGAGACCCTCCTAAAGAAGCGCTGGGTCAGGAAAGGAAATTAGGGTTAGAACAAGTTACCATTTATCTTATGTTTTAAAATGCATATCCCCCATAATGGACAATCCCTCACAATGCATCAGCAGTCATTTTCATTGTTCCTTACTCCTCTTCACCTCGTATAATTGAATTCTGATTGGCTGCAATAGGTTAGTGCACTTTGCACACATTATTACTCTTTGCAGTTTCTTAACCACTTCCTGTCCGGACACTTTTACCCCTTCCTGTCCAGGGCAATTTTCAGCTTTCAGCGCTATCACACTTTACATGACAATTGCGCGGTCATGCAACACTGTACCCATATGAATTTTTTTTACCATTTTTTTGAGACAGATAAAGCTATTTATTTTGGTGGTATTTATTCACCGCTGGGATTTTTATTTTTTTACTATGTAAATGAAAAAGTCCAAAAATTTTGAAAAAAAGTGTTTTTTTTATAACATTTTGCAAATAAATAATATTTCATCATAAATCTTGGCCAAAATGTATTCCGTTATTTTTTTAGTAAAAAAAAAAATCCAAATTAGTTTATAACCAAAAATTATAATTTTTAAACATTTTTTTTTTACATTTTTATTTTATTTTTTTTATATTATTATTTTTTATTTTTATTTTTTTTTTACATAATGTCACCCTAGCAGTACAGTGTCACACTGTACTACTTGTGGGGGGTGATGAAGATTTTTTTTCTTTTTTTTTTTACACTGATTGCTTTTACACCCATATAGGATGTAAAAGCAATCATTTCCTCGTTCTCCTCTGTCTGCATTCTTGCACTCATTGAGAAATACAGAGTGAGCTGTGATTGTCACAGCTTGTCACATGGTACAAGGCTTTTGTGAATAGCCTTGTACCATGTGACCTATGTGATTATTCACAGATTTCACACATAGTAAGCAATGATGTCACAAGTGACATCTTGCTTACTACTTTGCATGTGATCACTGATTGGCCAAACAGTGATCACATGATCGGGACCTCTGTACGAGGTCCCGTCCGATGATCGGTGTTTCACTGTGTCCGGAGGACACCGCGGGCACCGGATCGCGGTGCTGCACGCTCCCAGGGAGTGTGCACAGCTAGAAAAGGCGGGTGCCATTTATGAAACGGCAACCCACCCCTGGACTGCCACCTGCCCTGCCGTTTATAAACAGTAGGCGGACGGCAAGGGGTTAAACAGGCCTAAGATGGTGTCAGGAAATGCCTTCCAGTAGTACAAGTGATGCCCTGCGGCGCACAAATATGCGCATGCACTGGGTTCTGGCAAGCCGAACAGATGTGCGGGTGCCTGGACAGAGGCGCAAGCGGGATATTTAAACTGTCTGCTGTGGATGTCTCATTGTCGTATGGTCTTTTCCCCTGCTTGTGTTCCTGACTTCTGTGATTGTTCCCTGTTGCCAAAACCAGCCTGTTCCTGACTTCCGATTAATCGTCTCCTGCCCTGACTTCTGGCCTGTCCTTGGATTCCTCTTCTGCCTGCTCCTGATTGACTGATCGCTTGTTATTGAACCTGGCCCATGCTCTGACTATTCTCCTGCTTGCCATCCATGCCTGATCTGTCTAATACCGAACCCGCCCATCTGACTCTGCTTCTCGCTACACGGTGCACCTCATCCATTCCACCCTGCACGGATCCATCTGCACCCTGCTCTGGTCTGCTACTCATCAGTCCAACAGCTATCACTGGACAGATCCCAGGCCCTCTTACCCCACCAAGCTCCTGCGACCGCTGTTCCACTCCCAGCGGTCCCTGACCCGGGCATGTACGAGAGGTCTGCCTCTTCACGTCAGGCTCACTACCCAGGTACATGACAGATGGTCTACCTTTTTATTGCATTTTGCAAATGCCAGACAAGTTCCCAAGAACGACATGCCAGATATAGGTTACAGTGCTACATTACAAAATCAATTTAGGCATGGGGGGGGGGGGGGGCAATAAGATGGTTTATTTTAACCCTTGACTGACACCATTTTATTTCTCAGTGTTGGAAAATAAAGCAGTTTGTGAAGTCATATAGTGAGAGTAAGCTGTGTTTGAACAGTTTATTATGTGTGTTGTGAACAGGAAAGGCTCAGCGTTCCCCACTGCAGACATGTAGGAGGATTGTGAATGTGATTCTAGGGAAGCGGGGGATGAAGGAGGCAGAAAGTGAGTCGGAAACATTTATTTAAGAATGAACAGGATGACTGTACTCTGTGTGTCTATATATATATATATATTAATATATATATATATATACATTCTGGATTCCTTCCCACCTATACTGTTTAATTCTGAGTTCGATAAATCAAAATAGATGTCTGCTTATGATAGATAGACAGAGAATAGATTTTGATTCCCTCAAAGCTGACTACACCTTGCACTTCCAGGATTTGAATTGCAGCAAACAGGCACATTTTTGTGTGAATTCGCCCAAATTTCGCACCCACTCATGTGCACTTCAATCCTGGCCAACAGACTCACAAGAGCCAATACTTAGTAGGAAATGGATAACCCAGCCACCTCACTATAAAAGGATGGGGGGGGGGGGGGCTCAGAACAGCCATAGGGCTTTATCTAAATGATAGGCAGATCTTACAACCTGCAAACCAACGTGATTATAGGCAGTATGGGTGATCCACAAAGACAGTCACAATACAACTGTGTCTAATGATGCGGATACCTGACGCGTTTCGGGGGCTGGACCCCCTTCCTCAGAGCTAGCTCTGAGGAATGGGGTCCAGCCCCTGAAACGCGTCAGCTTATCCGCATCATTAGACACAGTTGTATTGTGACTGTCTCTGAGGAAGGGGGTCCAGCCCCCGTAACGCGTCAGCTTATCCGCATCATTAGACACAGCTGAGGAAGGGGGTCTAGCCCCCGAAACGCGTCAGCTTATCCGCATCATTAGACACAGTTGTATTGTGACTGTCTTTGTGGATCACCCATACTGCCTATAATCACGTTGGTTTGTGAGTATACATCCTTTTTTATTTAATAAATTACGTGGTATACCACGGTAATGCACGATGAGAGTGCGCTCTTGTTTCTTTTCATTTACCAGTGGTCAGATTTCCCAATCTCAGAAGGGCAGCACCTCTTCGATTGGCATTTTGGCAATTCCTTGGTTTGCATGAAGATTGGAGCGTTGGTTTCGTTTGTCTATCTCTTGGAGATCTTACAACCTGCATAAAGAGAGATTACCATAATGGAGGCCAGGTCCTTTTTAATGGCTTAGTGCTGCCCAAGGGTTGGCAGGGTGACCTCATGTCAATCTGAATACTCCCGAAGAGGATGTAAAGCTTTTTTTTTTTGGGGAGGGGGGGGGGAGTAGAAGGTCAGCCAGTTTAGAATCCATTGATGACCTTTGTTTTTGGGAAGGACATAGCAGTGTGGTGGATCAGTGGTGGAACTATAAACTGCAAGCTACATGTAGGTACTGCCACTTTCTTCCTGGTGCTACTGACAGGGCCTTGGGAAGAGTCAGATAAACAGAATGTGCCTTGAACCTTGCTATGGGAAATGTTGTGTTCTGCACTGTTAAAGAATTATGTGATATAACTTTCCTTTATAAAAAGTCACTGAAGATATATGGGCTATACAAGTTGTAAAGTAAATGTTTTCTGCAACTCAATATTCTCTAATGGTCTCATATTCTTTCTGAGGAGACAACAGTGTAGCCAATGCCAGGGTAAAGAAGCTCGTAGTGGGCTCTGAAGAGAATAGGGTAGCATCATGTCTTCTGGGCTACGTAAGGCACTTTGTAGTGTCTCTGTCCTACACATGGGGTACCTTTGCTATAGTTCTGTTTCATCAGTGCCTCAGGACAAGGCTGAGGCCACTGTGGGGGAATACTCAACCCTAAGGCGGGCCTTCAACATTAGAGATGACCGATATATCATGTACACTTGTGCAATAACTGTTCTTCAGTTACTCTCGGGTCCTTGTAAATGTACATCTCCCCACTGTAGCTTGCAATTATGCAGGCCATACTGAACACTGACCACAGCCATCTGCCCAGCATTTCCTACTACCAGTCCTAGTAGCAGCACCGAACCCCTCTGTGCACATAGCAAGGGCTTCAACGCACACTTGACTTTAACTCGTGAATTTCCATATCTCTGTACAAGATGGGGACCTTTGCAGTGCAGTTCTGTGGGAGATGGAATGCAGTGTAGGGGGGGCCAACAACATCTCCCTCGTGGCTAGAGGCCGTTGCACCTATAACAGGTACACTCTTTGGACAGGCTGCTTACACCCCTTTGAATAGTTTCAGACCAGGCAAACAACAAAGTTTCAATGTTTTACTGAATAAAGTGCAAAATTACAAAAAAAGTTCAAAGCAGACAAGATAGTCCAACAAAACTTCAAAAGAACAGTCCATTCTCCTAAATCCCTATTCACTAAGTCTAACCAGGCTAAGTGCTGTCTCTGCAGAGGTGAGTCCGAGTATTTACAACATCCAACAGAGGCAAGTTCCAGAAGCTGGTCTCTTCAGGGTGAACCCCAAGTCTTTAAGATATAAATGATGCTTGTGCCATTCCTACACCTTTTCCAGGTGTCATTATCTTTGAGGTTCTAGAGAGACGGTTAAGGCCAGAGAAGTGAACCGGCCTTCTCAGCGGATCTTCCAGACAGTACGACCAAGGCTAAGGGCACAGGCCCCCACCTCCCCTTAGACCCAGCCTACTGTCTCAATGTATACTGAAAGGTGCAGTGAGTTGGACCCAAGAATCCCACCAAAAGACCATAAGAACATTAACCCCTACCCTTCCTTCCAGGACAGCACCTACCTAATTACAACCTGCCCACAAGTTAGTCTGTCTTGGAGAAGACCTGTAGATGGTATGGAGCTGTTGAGTTTACGCCCCTTGAAAATAGCTATATAGCATCTAAGGCTCTTGCATTTCGTATGTTCATGTGCTATAATGACCCCAAGACAGTGATCTGGAGTGGCTGTGATTGGAAAAAGTTAATATAGGGAATATTATATTGAACTGTAAAGTGGTGAGCTATGGCCTGGGTTACTGGCCCTCCTGTACCACCCACCTACTTAGATTGCTAGTGAGGTGACGGTAAATTTAGTTTTTGGCTCCTCTGTAGCTAGTGAAGCAGAGTGTGATTACGTTTGACTATTCTAGGTCTTTCTGATTGCAAGCTCAATTACTTCCCCTGCCTTCTAGTGGTATCTAGAATGTAGTGGGCAAGAAGAGACAGACCCTGGATCTGTATATTCATACAGCCTCAGCCAATCCCTGGGGGAAAGAATGGCCAGTAGAGGGCTGAGGTGTGTATAAATAGGCTGGGGCCTGGAATAGCAGGGTTGCTGAAATCAACAGGAGTTCACTGGGGTCCCACCTCAGGGAATGCTGGGGGGCTATCTCTAAAGTTACTGAAATTAGGCGGCAGTCCACTGAGAATTCAGCCTGAAGATTCATGGTACAGGTGTCTGCCTGGTATTGGAAGGAGGCAGCCAAGTACACAGAGACACAGTTCGTAAAGGCCTGAGAGAAAGAGATCCCAGTGACTGTGGCCGCTTAACCTGTTGAGTGACTGTAACAGAGTTGCTGGCTTAGGGCTGCTCCTGCAATTGGAGTCCCCTGAGCTGTATGCCCATTTACCGCTTGTCCAAAAAGGGCCCAGCCTGAAGAGCCTAGTTATAACTGGAGTGTCCTCTGTTACGCTTTGCACTGAATTTGGAGTAATAGAACCTGGGACACTCCTATAGCTAAAGAATCAGTACTGGACCCTTACAAGCTCTGACCATGGAAATACATAAAGGAGCACCAGACCAAAACAGATAAAAGATTCCAAGTTCATTTTAATTGTTGATACAAAAGTCATATAAAAATATCCATTGTGTTTCGGGGGGTCAACACCACTTCCCCTTCATCAGTGTGCTCAAAACAG